CTGAGGGAATTTTTCCAGCTTTTCCATTTTTTTTCACCTTTTCCATATTTTCTTTACCCACACATTTCTGCAGCTTGTTTCATCCCAGATTTTTCCTGATTTCAGGATTTTTTTTTTTTGTTATTTTGCGGGTATTTTTACATTTAAAGGGATTTTTTTTTTATTGTGAGGGAAAAATTTTTTAGTAGTATTTTTTATGTTTTTTTAAACGGATGCTTTACTTTTAAATTTAATATATTTTTCATTTTAAGCAGGATTTTTATTAATTTGGGGCCTTTGTGTGGGGAAATCCTTCCCTATCCCCCCCCCCCACTCGCTCATCCCCGAGTCCACCCCTCACTTCCCGCTGAGGAAATTTTCCACCTTTTCCAATTTTTTTCCACCTTTTCCATATTTTCCTCACCCACAAATTTCTGCGGCTTGGAGAATTTCCTCTCGGATTTTTGCTGATTTCAGCTTTTTTTTTTTGTTATTTTGCGGGTATTTTTACATTTAAAGGGATTTTTTTTTTTAGTGTGAGGGAAAAAAATTTTAATAGTATTTTTTCTGTTTTTTTTAAAGGGATGATTTTTAAAAAGTTGAATTTATCTTTCACTTTAAGCCGGTTTTTTTTAATTAATTTGAGGCCTTTGTGTGGGGAAATCTTTCCCTCTCCCCCCCCCCCACTCGCCCATCCCCGAGTCCGCCCCTCACTTCCCGCCGAGGGAATTTTTCCAGCTTTTCCATTTTTTTCCCTCCACCTTTTCCATCTTTTTCCTTACCCACAAATTTCTGAGGCGTGGATCGTTTCCTTTTAGTAAAGCTGCCTGCCAAACGCTCGATGAAGGTGGGGCGCTCAGGATGAAGCAACGCCTCGGGCACCATGTCCAGCTCCCGGATTTCCTCTCCTGCAGACGGCAAAAAAAAAAAGAAAAAAAAAAAAAAAAAAAAGGAAAAAAAAAAAAAGAAAAAATAGGAGATGAGCGGGGCGGGACGGGATGTGCGGCAGGCGCTGGCGGAGCGGTGTGAGGGGAGGGAGAGGAGGCGGCCTCAGGGCTCCAGCCCCGCCATGGCCCCGGAGCGGCCGGGCCCGGCCGGGGATGAGGGAGGGACGGGCGGGGAGCGCGGAAACCCTGCCGGGAACGCTCGGGGATCGAGAGTGCCGCTGTGAAATGGCTCCCGAGACGAAAAATGCCGCTCGGGAAGGGTCAGTGAGCCCGGAAATCCTGCTCGGGAAGGGTCACCGAGCCGAAAAATGCCGGGCGGGAATGGTCACTGAGCTGAGGGATTCCAGGGATTCCAGGCAGGAATGGTCACTGATCCCAGAAATCCTGCTTGGGAATGGTCACTGATCCCAGAAATCCTGCTCAAGAAGGGTCACCGAGCCTAAAAATGCCGGGCGGGAATGGTCCCGGAGCTGAGGGATTCCAGGCAGGAATGGTCACTGATCCCGGGAATCCTGCTTGGGATGGGTCACTGAGCTGAGGGATTCCAGGCAGGAATGGTCACTGATCCTGGGAATCCTGCTTGGAAAGGGTCACCGATCCCAGAAATCCTGGTCAGGAAGGGTCACCGAGCCTAAAAATCCTGGTCTGAAATGGTTCCTGAAACTAAAAATCCCGGTCTGGAATGGTCACTGATCCTGGGAATCCTGCTTGGAAAGGGTCAGTCATCCTAAAAATCCTGATCTGAAATGGTTCCTGAGCCTAAAAATCCCGGTCTGGAATGGTCACTGATCCTGGGAATCCTGCTTGGGAATGGTCACTGAGCTGAGGGATTCCAGGCAGGAATTGTCACTGATCCCGGGAATCCTGCCTGGGAATGGTCACTGAGCTGAGGGATTCCAGGCAGGAATTGTCACTGATCCCAGAAATCCTGCTTGGGAATGGTCACTGATCCCAGAAATCCTGCTCGGGAAGGGTCACCGAGCCTAAAAATGCCGGGCGGGAATGGCCCCGGAGCTGAGGGATTCCAGGCAGGAATGGTCACGGATCCCGGGAATCCTGCTCAGGAAGGGTCAGTGATCCTAAAAATCCTGGTCTGAAATGGTTCCTGAGATTAAAAATCCCGGTCTGGAATGGTCACTGATCCCGGGAATCCTGCCTGGGAATGGTCACTGAGCTGAGGGATTCCAGGCAGGAATTGTCACTGATCCCGGGAATCCTGCTTGGGAATGGTCACCGATCCCAGAAATCCTGC